CCTGATCCTCCTACCTTAGCCTTAAGATTATAGGCATGAACCACTGCACCCAGCTCATGTGCGTATTTTACAAGTGAGAAACAGAGGAGGAAAGACTCAGAGGCACGTGGCCCAGCTCACCTCGGAAACAATTGGAAACTGGCTTCCAGCTCCGTGACCTTCCCTTTACCACAATAAAAGTAGCTACTCTTCTGAGCCATTAAATTACTTTTAAAATAATATATTTTAGTACAGTTTCAGATTTACAGAAAAATTCTGAGAATGGTACAGAGTTTTCAGATGCTCCCACACCTAATTTGTCCTACTATTAACATCTTACATCAACACAGTACATTTCTCACAATTTAAGAATCAATATTGACAAACGACTTAACTGAAGCCCATGGGCAGATTTCCACAGATCTTACTTAGTGTATTTTAACTTATTCCAGGATCCTATCTAGGGTTTACTATTGTCATGGCTCTTTAGACTTCTCTTGGTTGTGCCAATCTCTCAGACTTTCTTATTTATTTATTTACTTATTTATGGTACCTGAGATTGAACCACTGAGCCACATTCCCAGGACTTTTTATTTTTTATTTTCAGACAGGGTCTTCCTAACTGGCTTAAGGGCTCCCTAAGTTGCTGGGGCTGGCTTTGAACTTGCAATTTGCTGAAGTTGATCTCCAGCCCCCAATCCTCCTGCCTCAGCCTCTGGAGCCTCTGGGATTACAGGTGTACACCACAGTCCTCTTTTTTTTAGAAAATGACTTTGACACTTTTGAAGAGACAGCTTTGCTATTTACTAGAATATCTAAGCTGGGGTTGTCTGCTTTTAGGTATTTATGTATGTATACCCCCAGTCCCTCTGCCCCCTTTTATTGAGACAGGGTCTACATTGAGGTTCTGTGCAGACTTGCCCTTTTTCTGCCTCAGCCTCCTGAGTGACTGGGACTAGAGGCCCAGGACACCAGCCAGTGGATTTCATTTTTATTAGACTGGGATTGTGGGGTTCTTTTTTTCTGGTGATGATGGTGGTGGGGGTGGATAAAGTGCCCTTCTCATCATCACATGGCAAGGGTGCACTCCTCCACATGAGTCATCACGGATGATGCTCACCTTGGTCACCTGTTCCAGAAAGTGTTTGTCAGGCATGACACAGTGTGAAACCGCAGCCGCTCCCGGTGCTCCCACCGCATTCTTGGAAGGTCAGCATCACCTCCTCTTGGTATCTACACAAATGATTTGGGATTCTGCACGGGACATACTTGACCCACATTTCCCCAGCGATTTATTTGTTTAATCGCTTATTTATAGCATGCAATTTTATTTGTCTCTTTATTTTTGTGATGGAGTCTCTGTCTTGTCCAGGCTGACCTTGAACTCCTGGGCTCCTGTGATCTGTCATCCTCAGCCTCAGGTGGCTGGCCACTACATCTGGCTCATTACCTTTTTTGTTGTTGTTGTTGTTACTGAACTCAGAGGCTTTACCACCAGACTACATCCCCAGTCTCCCCACGATCCTAAGAGCCTCACTAAATTGCTGAGGCTGCCCTCAAACTTGCGATCCTTCTGCCTCAACCTCCTGAGTCCTTGGAGTTACACGCCTGCGCCAAATCCCTGGCCTGGCTGATTTTTTTTTTTTTTTAATTTGCACTTGGATAGATAGATGCACAGGAATAGAGATGGAACGTGGATACGGTGCAAAACCTAAAACCCAAAAACTTTGTGCATCCTGAAGGATCCTCCCTCCACCGAGGCTCGACCTACCCGGTAGCCCGCTCCTCGGACCCTCCGGACAGATATCTTGGACATTTGCAAACTTGCATTTGTACTTTTTGTACCCAAACCACGTATTCGATGCACACGTTTGGTGTTTTCGTTATTTTATTTCTTAACTCGAAGCCCTCCGGGTCTCATCAGCGCTGCGGACCGAGCCCTCCCCAGCCCCGGCGCAGCCCCGCGGGCGCCATCCCGGGGGTCCTGCAGCCGCTCCGCGCTCCCTCCGCCCAGCGCCCCGCCCCGGCCTCTGTGACGTCAGCCGGAACCTGGAATCCCGGCTGCGGGCGGCGGTGGCGGCGGCGACGGCGGAGGCTGCGGGTCCCCGGCGGCCTCTGCCGAGCGCGCGCGCAGCCATGAGCGAGTCCAGCGTCAGTGCGCTCCAGTCCGGCAGGCCCCCCAGGCAGCCCGTGGTCCACCAAGGTAGGCGGCGGGCGGCGCTGCTGGCGCCAGGGGCGCACGGCGACAGCAGGTGCTGGGGATCGGCGCGCAGCGCCCCTCGCAGGTCCCCGAGCCCGGCTTTGGGGGAGAGCAGGCGGGAAGAGGGATCCTTCTTGGGTCTGCCTTCCCTCCTCCACGCCATCCTCCCCCGATCCCGAGAGAGCGTGCAGAGGAGCTCGGGAACCGCGGTCCTGACCCGGATCCCGGGCCAGCCTCTCCACGGGAACCTCATCTGTTAAATAAAAAGACCCAGGGAGCCCCGCCTGGCCACCTTCCGTCATCTCCCCTCCGTGCCCGTCCGCCAAACATGTCACACTTTGCCATCAGACCACTTGAAAAAGGATTCTGCCCCGGCACTTTATTGGGGTGTGCGTTTTGGTGAGTGGCTTGCTCTCTCTGAGCCTCAGATTCTTCAACAGTTAATCGGGAGGAGGATGGTGTGGAAATAGCTGTAAAGTGCCCTGCACAGTCCTGGGACAAAGAAAGGCACACACAAATGATAGCCAGCCAAGCATGATGATCCCCCCTCCCCCAGCCCCCTCTTTTATTGGGTAAAATGTTCAGCAAAATCCAGCTCCATGAATTTTTACTCAAGTACATAAAACCGCACCCAGTTGAGCTAGAAAAGTTGCTAGCAGGCGGACTTCCTTGTAACATTTGTATCTTATTTTTGTCCTGAGCAAGACAAATCGCATCTGCTGCGAATTTTATCTGCAATGTTTTCTGTGTTACGATTGGGAGTCAGAGATATAACAAAACCAAGGATTGTTCTCAACTTCTAGAAGAAAAAATCTACCAGAGACCTAAAGCCTGAGAAAGGACTCAGGAATCAGAGAGGAAAAAATCAAGCGAGGTCCAATGCTAATTATTTTCTGGTTCAGTGTTAATACTGCTGGCCTCAGCTCAACCTCAGCCTTTTAAGAATAGCCGGCAACTGGGGGTGCAGTTCAGTGGCAGAGTGTTGGGGCTGCATACACGAGGCCCTGGGTGCGATTCTCCAGCACTAACGAAGAAAAACAGCCATTCAAGCATTTCTCTAATTAGTTTCTATTTATCTTCTTCTTCGATTCATTACGTTGAAGATGCCAACTCCTGTTTCCTGTGCAGAGATCCTGAGAGTCATCTTTGTGAGATCTTTGCTGAGTGTTAAGGGGACTAAGTGATATTTTTCTAATATCACACTGGTCCCTCTAACTGCAAGATCTCCTCTGCTCCTCCGACAGATGGTTTCTCTCTCCCTCCATTTTTTCTTTTCTTGGCAGTGCTGGAGATTGGACCCAGGGGCCCACACATGTCCTTTTTATTGTATTATTATTTTGACACAGGGTCTCACTAAGTTGCCCAGACTGGCCTCGACCTTGGCCATCCTCCTGCCTCAGCCTCCTGAGTGACAGATGATTTTTTGACCTGGTGTCCATCAACATGGGCAGGAGGCTCAGAAGAGGCCTTTTGTAACTCTGCGGCGCTTTAGAAACAGCGACTGTCTGGGTGGACATCAGGGGAGGAGGGTTGGGTGGGGGGTGTGTAGCTGTCATTGTAACAGGTACCTGAGCTGACCAACTAGGGCAGAGCCGTGTTTTGACTCCTAGTCTTAGAGGTTCCGTCCATGATCAGCAGTTGGTGCCGCTGTTTTGGAGGCAGCTCATCGTGGTGGAAAATCCGCTGCCCCTAGGGGCCAGGGAGGCCAAAGGAAAGAGAGCGGGGGAGGGGAAGAGCCGGCCCTCCAGGTCCTACCCAGTGACACTGGCTGCGTTCCCGTTCCAGCCACTTGGCAAGCTCACTGCTGGCTGGGGGCCTTGGCATCTGCCCTTGTCTCTGAACCCCTCTCCCCTTTTATCTACCTTCCTCCCCCTGCTGGGCCTCTAGAGTCACCTCAGAGAGGCTGACTGCTGGGCCTCTAGTCGGAAGGCCTGTGGCCATCTCTCTGTCTCTGACCAGTTTCTCCGCTCTTCTGTCCAAGCCCTTGATTTGATGGTTTTTCCTTCGTTAAGGAAGGTCTCTCCTTCCAGATGGCGGGTGCCCCAAAGTGGGGGCTTCGTCTTGTTCTGTAGCACCTAGGGTGGTGCCTGGCACCCAGGAGGTGCTCCGTGGACTTGGAACGAATGAGCGAGACGCATCTGCAGCCACCCCGGCAGCTCTGCGTGGGAGCAGTGACTCTGGGCTCTCTGGCGGGTGCCTCGGTTTCCTTGTGGGTTAAGTGGAAATAACCTCTGAACCTGCTTCAGGGGGTCATGATAAGGATTAAGTGGACCCCGTGAGCACTTGCCTCAGGTGTGTGTGTGTGTAATGAATCACCCCAAAACTCTGTGGCTCCGAGCAGTAATAATCACTCTCAATCTAGTCGTTTCTGCGGGTCACAAATTGGGAGTGACTTTCCCTGGTGGGTCTGCCACAGGGTCCCTTAGGTGCAGGCAGTCACCATACGGCCTTGTGGCCATGGGAACCCTTGACGGGGGCTGCAGGAGCCCTCCTGAGGGCCCGCTCACACGGAGGGTGGCTGAAGCTCAGTTGCCCCGTGCACCTCCCGGGGTGCACTTGAGTGTCCTGCGACAGCAGGGCGACAGGGTGGTGGTCTTCTCTGAGCGTGGATGATCCAGAGACAGTGGGAGGGAGTGGGAATGGCTTTTAGGAGTTGGTTTCGGGAGTCCCCGTGTCATGGACGGTCGGTGAGCCCCGTGCAGCTCACCCATCGTGGGGTGGGACTCTGGGGATTTGGGGAGGGAGCTCGCCCTGGGCTGCGCTGGACCCTGGCCCAGTCCTGGTCCTAGTGTTAGCCGTTGTCAGTGTCTGGGCCGCAGGGCTGGGGACGGCCACCCCTTGGCCTGGGCCGAGTGGGCCTCCATGAGCCAGAAATGAGCAGCTGCCCTTCCTGACTGGCCTGCCTTAGTGCCCTCACAACCTCAGGCCCACCTGATGGCCCCCATTTTGCTCCTCGAGGCTGCTAAGCTCCCCCTCCCTCCACCGCGGGACCGTGACCTTGCTTCCTCATAAGGCACACATGCTCCTCTCCTCTGAGTGGACAGCCTCCCCCAGGCTGGCCTCCGTGTCCCTTCTCGTGCCCACACAGCCCCCAGCCCATATCCTCAAAGCACCTCTTGAGCTGTATGTTACTGTCCCTTCTCTTGAGCTGTATGTCCCCTCCCACCCCCACCTCCATCCTGGGGATTGAACCCAGGGCGCTAACCACTGAGCCACCTCCCCAGTCCTTTTTATTTATTTATTTTAACTTTGTTTACTTATTATGATTATTTTTTAATGCTGTGCTGACGATCGAACCCAGTGCTTCACACAAGAGAGGCAAGCGCTCCACCGCTGAGCCACATCCCCAGCCCTTTATTTAATTATTTTAACTTTATTTTGTTTATTTATTATGATTATTTTTTAATGCCGTGCTGACGATCAAACCCAGTGCTTCCTACATGTGAGGCAAGCACTCGCTCCACCGCTGAGCCACAACCCCAGCCCCTTTTTTATTTTTTATTTTGAGACAGGGTCTGGCTAAATTGCTTAGGTGTTGGATAAGTTGCTGAGGCTGGCCTTGAACTTTCGAGCCTCCTGTCTCAGCCTTCCAAGCTGCGGGGATTACAGGTGTGCGCCATGCCCAGCGAGCTGTGTCATTTTTCAGAGCAGAGACCCTTGAGTTCAGATGCTCACTTGGCCTCTTAAGCTTGTGGATTTGAGGAAATGACCTCCTTTTCTGAGCCTCAGTTTGCTCACCTGTGAAGGGGAGAGTCTGATAGGAGTTAGAAGCTGAAGGGCGACTGCCACTCCCTAGCCTGCACTTGGGCTGCCTCCTCGTTTTCCCCCAGGCCCAGGGACTGGGTGCCAGGTGCGGTGGCCCACTCCCTTAATCCCAGAGACTTGGGAGACTGAGGCAGGAGGATCACGAGTTCAAAGGCAGCCTCAGCAACTTAGCGATCATCTAACAACTCAGTGACACCCTGTCTCTACATTAAAAATAAAAACAGGGCTGAGAATGTAGCTTAGTGGTAAAGCCCTTGGGTTGGATCATCAGTACACACACACACACACACAAAAAAAAAAAAATGCACAGGGTCTAAAAAAAAAAAAAATGCACAGGGTCTTTCTGGATTGCCTAGGCTGGCCTCAAATTTCCCATCCTCCTGACTCAGCCTCCTGAGCCACTGGATCATAGGCATGGGCCACCCAGCCCAATAAAATGAACCATCTTAAAGCACAGGAAGTGTAGAGCTCATTGGCATTTTGGATGCTCACTGTGTGTGCAGTCACTGCCTTTGTGTAGTTCCAGAACATTCCATCACCCCAGAAAGAAACCTCGTGCCCGTTAAGTAGCCCTTCCTCATATCCAGCGCCGGCCCTCGGCCGTGGATTTGCCTCCTCAGGGCGCTTGTGGGAGCCTGGGGGCTTTCCCTCCACTGGGTTCCTCTGCAGTGTGGAGGGACCCTTCATGCCCTTGCACGGCTGAATAGTACTCCGCCATTTGTCCGAGGGTCTCTGGAGGCACCCCTGGCGGTCCCCGTGTGGCTGCTGGGATGGTGCAGCTGTGGACAGCCTTGCACACGTTTTTGTCTGGACATCTGTTCTTAGTTCTTGGGGACTTCTGCCTGGCAGTGCACCCGCTGTCCGCCCGTGGAGACTGTGACCTTGACTCCTTGGCTCAGGAGCCACACCCAGGTGACTCAGCCCAGGTCAGCCCAGGTGTCCAGGTGGCTGCGGCGGGGCAGTGTGGAGCCCTCTGTGGTGGCTGCAGAGCCCTGGTCCCACCCCTGTCTCGCGGCCTCTGCTCTGGTCAAACCTTTGGCTTTGACCTTGCCTGCAGGAGGCAGGACCTGGCCGGCTGCCACGTGGGCCTCTGGGGGAGGGCACAGCTGGGATTGGAGAGAGAGGCACTAAATGGTCCCTGCGGAGGGAGGAGCTGGAACCTTTTCCGTTTGTTTTGATGATACCTAAAGAAACTCTCTGGCTGGTGGGTGGACAGGACTGCCTGACCCAACTCACCA